AGCTAAAGAATGCCACACTTATTAAAAGACAGGAATTTACTTAAAAAAAGAAAATTATCGAGAGTGCCACTATCGTACCTTCCCAAAATATAAATCTGCGCCCCGGATTTTTTCCAATATCTGCGTTCCTGAAAGAATTACTACTTTTCCAAGCCGATATAATTGACTGCAAAAATGCTAAAAAAATAACTGAAATCAGTTAAATACTTCATCACATGTCATTCAAAATAGATAGCACATCAATTAATCCCAAACTAAAATAATTTAAATACGAATGTACATAAAAAATTTCAAAAACATGACTTACTCAATTTCGTTTATTAGACATTGAATTGTGTCGCGTCGTGTCCTCCATACTTTGACTGACTTTTCAGCTAATCTGATGAATATTTATGAGCGTTCCTAAACTTTAACAAATTCAAAAACGTATAAAATTTTTGCTCTTGTATATAAATACTTGTTAGAAAATAAAATCATTGTACTTGTCTGGCTAAATTCTCACATAGAATGAAACGCGTTGGCTAAGATAATTTCTTCTTTTTGTCTTTATTCACACGCACACACACAGACGCAAGCATATATATATATATATATATATATATATATATATATATATATTATAAATTAACTAGTTTAAAATGTGTTTTTTTTTCGCTACACAATAATAATGATGTTTCAAAAATGGAAGCTGAAAGCTTCAAATTTAATTTTGTAATTAAATTAAAAACATTAGTTCCATTTCATCCTCAAGCGAATTTTGAAGTAACTTATTTTTTAAATTTACTGAGTTTTAAAGGCACAGAAAATTCATAATTCAACTGTTTCCAAGGATACAGAGAAATCCAATCATTCAGACAAGGGGTGGTAGCGTGTTTATTTTTATTAACTTTTGTTGTATCACTTATTAGTTACATTCGAAAAAGGGGTTATGTTTAGATAGGGGTAGGGATGTATTTTTCAACGAATTCTGACATCCGTTAAATGCATGTCGTCTGGGGTTGTTTAAAATTTTATTGTTAACGGCAAAATATTCTTACGCCATTTTTCTATTTGTATACTTAAAGATTTTTCGGGGATGTTTAAGTTAGAATACGTTTTATTTAACTACGATTTGAAAAATATTTTCATATCTTACTGTTCTTTCTTTATATATATATATATATATATATATATATATATATATAATATATTCATTAATTCAAATCTCTCAGGTTTTTAACTTCAATTTCTTGGTTGATTATACAAAAAGCTTATACTTATTGACATTTAATTCAAAATTTTTTTCGCTAATTTCGAAAAACCTTTTAAAAATGTTCTGAAGCAGACAAATTTTTAATATTATTTACAGAATATGTTGAATGAAATACACTGAATTAATCCGGAACTAACTTTTCTTTACTTTAAAGTACATTCAAATCTTGCTAAATATTACTAATAGGTACCTCTAGGAGATCGCTAAAAGTAGAGCATAGCATGGTGAAAAAGACGCCAAACTTGACGAAAACAAAATTTTATCGTCTAAATGTTTATGTTATTATTAAGAGAAAAGACCAAATTTTTTTTTAATTATTTTTAAAAATTTTCATTCTTTTTAGAACATTCTAAATTTTGATTAAAAAAAAAACCTTGTTTCTCTTTGTATCACTGGAACTAGTAAAATAACGTATACAATTTTTAGCACGTTTTTTTTTGTATGACACACATTAAATTGGAAAATCTTGCAAAAATAAAAATAATTGGCGGATGTTAATGAAACTTTCAGAAACTATTCACAGATTATCGAAATTATTATAAATGTTTTATTTTATTAAAGTCATGGCAGAATTTTTGTTATATTTATTAGCCCCTCCATAATTAATTTATGAAAACACTAGAAATTCGATCGAATCCAGTTTAGTGATTACAATAGTTAAAAGCATAAGGCTTTGAAGAATGCAAATCATGTTTTTTTTTGTTTTTAATTGAACCACCCGCTACCTGAAAATCAGCCCTGAATTGTAACATACAAAACTCAATGAAACAAAGATATTATTTAATTTCAAATGCTTTTATTTGCTTTTAGTTGTTTTTATGAATATGGACAATATTTTCTGAAAGCAAAACATTTTTTCGATGAAAAATGAATTTTTAAAACAATTATTTGTTACTTCTTTAATTATAATAGATTTTTACATTTAAGTTCTTAAAATATAAAATTAGTTAAAAGTCGCATCCGCTTTCGTAAGTGTCCTTTTTTAGCACGTTGTAAATTGTATCGTTTTGACTAATCAGAAGATCTGTAGTAATCAAGAAATATAATTTTGTGTTTATAATCGGGATGTAATTATGAAGTACGGAAGAATAACCAGAATACAATTAAGTTGGGTTATTTCAGTTAAGCATTGTTCTCTGCTGTTAAGGCCTTTACTTTTGCGAAACACGTGTGGAGAAGTTAATTTGATTTTTCAATTTCGACTGAGAAGGGTACCTACAAGTATCAGTATCATCTTATGAAATTTATATGAACTTATTTTATATTAATCTCAGTTATGGCATTTTTCCATAAATGAAATATCAAAATTAATAATAAAATGAATGGAAATACAAATAACACAGTAAAATGTAATAAATGTACATAAAATTATAGTATTTTATGTATACTTCTGATAAAATTTCATAAGAAAGTTACCTATAAATAAATTAGATATCTTTCTTTTGAAATTTAATGTCACTCTTAACAGTCTTATTTTAATTTCTTTATAATATATTTTCCATAAAGCATCGTAAACGTAAAGGTGAAAGCTAAGTACAAAAAAAAAATAAAAAAAAATTAGATCGCTGAAAGTTTTCCTTAAAAATAACGAGGTAAATAATTTGTTCACTTAAATCTAAATAACTTCACTTTTCTCCTTCCGTAGAACAAATTATCCTCACGTAATCCTTCAATATGTCATTCAACACCTCTCAAGTGACGCGAAAGGTTATGACCTGCTTTGTTTTATTTTCAAATTACATCTTTTTGGCGCAGAAGCTAAGTTAAACTTGATTCAAAATATTTTAAATAAACATTATAATTTCTGATTTTCGTAAAATAAGTTTTGAAAAAAATGATAATTGATTTTTAAAATAATTTCAAGCTGAGATTTTCATTTTTTTATAAAATGGAAAAAAAATGGATGCCACGATTGATTATCTGTCATCTTTGCTGACTCAAAAAAAAAGATTTTTAACGAAAATTTCAAACGTGCTCGGTACGATTAAAAATGTAAAAAAATAGCCCTAATTTTCTCTTAATAATAACATGAACATTTAGACGATAAAATTTTGTTTTCGTCAAATTTGGCGTCTTTTTCATCATGCTATGCTCTTTTTTTAGCGATCTCATGGAGGTACCTAACTAAATGCATTTAAGGTATTCTAGATATAAATATATTTCTCTGAATATAATTAATAATCATTTAATTCAAATTTCTTAGGTATTTTAATTTAAATTTCTTGGTTAATTTTATAAAAAGCTTATGAAAAATTAGTTTATGAAAAATTTAGCTAATTTCGAAATACTAAAAATGTTCTCTTTTAATATTATTTACAAATAATTTGTTGAATGAAATATATCAGAATTGAAAATTTGGCCCGTTGACAGAAACTGACTGGATTGTCACTTTATAAGTCAACAATCTCTGCCTTTTCCCTTATTTTCTAAAAAAGAACAATATCTTTTATTTTTAACCCGGAATATTTTTTCCATTTTATTTGTGATTTGTTTGTAGGTCTTGAAGATTGAGAGCTGCTGTTTTTTTAGAATTCTCATGAAATAAAAATTATTACCTATGGAATTTAAAGTGTTTGATTTTCTTTAATTAATAATAATAATAATAATAATATATATATATATATATATATATATATAAAATCCAGTGTTCTTATTGATAATTTTATTTTTACAAATCATTGCTCAATGTAAATTTAAAGGGCAGAAATATTATAAAATAACTGATTTAAAAATATGGTTCTATCGCTACACAGAAATTACTATGTTTCAAAAACAGAAACAACTTCAAATTCAATTATATAATTAAATTAAAAGCACTAATTCTGTTTCATTTTCAAGCGAATTTTGGAATGTAAAATTAGCTGGAAAATGAAACAGAACTAGTGCTTTTATTTTAATTATATAATTGAATTTAAAGTGGTTAGATTCTTTTTGAAACATGGTAATTCCTGTGTGGCGATGGAAAATATTTTTAATCAGTTAATATATATATATATATATATATATATATATATATATATATATATGTGACGTCGCCCCCTGGTCGCAGCGTCGACTCTGTCGTTCGATCTCGTTCGCGGCTCCAATTGTGACGTGACGTGATGTAGCCGCCCAAGGGTCGATCCTTGTCACGGACAGCACCAGTTGTGACGTCTTTTGCCGCGGCGTCAGCTGTTCGCCCTCGCTGCTCCAAGTGTGACGCTCCAACCCTTTGGTTAGATGATTACCAGCCTCGCCGTTCCCAACTCGCTTCCAACACCTGGTTACTAGGGTAACTGTACTGATCTCCGGTCTGCCTGCCACGTTGTGATCAGATCTTAGACAGACGGGATCAAATAGGGATTGGGGGCCGTATGCAAGTTGAGTTCGACGGGGTGGCAACACACAAGTAAAAGAAAAACTCACGAGGCCAAAATTACTGATAAAAAAGGGTAACAACCTTTTTATATCTAATGTTCGTTACATAAAAATTATTCTTACTTCCTGACCCGTTTTGTGGACTGTGGCACCAAGCTTCTACCATAATTTAAAGACTTCCGAGTTGCCTACTCGAGAAAATTTTTATGTCGGAGGTGGTTTGGTTTTTACGACACTGGGCGCTAATCTCTACCAGTCGTTCACGGCTGATTCTTCTTCGGCTTGAGTTGACGAGCTTATTCACTTCGGCTTGAGTTGGACGAATTTCTTCACTTCGATTTGGGTTGGACGAATTTCTGTTCTTAGGGCTTGGTTTGATTTCAACTTCTTCATGCGCAACTGCAGTAACTTCTTCTTCGTCCGCCCTGCAACTCTTCTCTCTTGGTCCGAACTCTTCTCTCTGCCGTCTGAGGTGAACTGAGCTCTCTGTCGTCCGGGGCTGAACTGAGCTCTCTGTCGTCCGGGGCTGAACTGAACTCTCTCTGTCTGGCCTACAATTCTTCTGCCTGTCTGGCCGGCAACTCTTCTGCCTGTCTGGCCTGCAATTCTTCTGCCTGTCTGGCCGGCAATACTTCTGCCTGTCTGGCCTGCAATTCTTCTGCCTGTCTGGCCTGCAATTCTTCTGCTTGTCTGGCCTGCAGCTCTTCTGCCTGTCTGGCCTGCAATTCCTTCTGCTTGTCTGGCCTGCAGATCTTCTGCCTGTCTGGCCTGCAACTCCCTTGTCTGGCCTGCAGCTCTTCTGCCTATCTGGCCTGCAATTCTTCTGCCTGTCTGGCCTGGTAGCTCCGCTCCAACTTCTCTGCGGCTTTCAGGCAATTTTCTTCTCTTTGACTTGCTTGTCTGGCTTGGGCCAAACGCCGACCCTCTTCCCCATCTGGCCTGAACAATTCCGTCCTGCTGCCTGTCTGGCGTTTGGGCAACCCGCTCCAAACTTGGGTATGTCGGCTCAGGGTTTTCTTGATAATTCAAAAGTTTATTTCTGATTTCCCGGCCTCGCTCTCTTCGACTTGGCCTCTGGGGTGGGGGGCAACTTCTCTGCTCTGTCAGGGTGCCAAACGACCTGGTCGACCCTTCTCCTCTTTCTCGCAATCACGGACCGCGAATGAACTGGTTGGGCGTCCCGTCCTTCGTCCGTCTCCAATCGGGCGTTTCTGGCTGTTCTCCAAGAACACCTGCAAAAAAAAAATCTGATTTTTCTGTCGTTTGGGGTTCTGGCTTTTTATTGACGCCCGCAATTAAACTGGGGGTGGGTCTGTTTGGCGTCAGGGTTTCCTTTTCGCTCAGATAATTCCAAAAGTCGCATTATTTCTTCATTTCCCATCGGGCTTCTAATCTTCAACTCTAGAGCTGGTCAAACTCACAGTGCACCTCTCATCCAAAAGGGGAGGCTTTTTTCCACTAAACATCTCTCTCCCGATTCCGTGGACGCATGTCAGGGTGACCGTGTTTTATCAACCGTACGTATGTTCATCCACTTTTACCATGTCTGTTTTCTTTTTATTACCTTTAAAGTTTATTCTTTCAAATAACAATTTCTATTGTTCGTGAAATTCGGTCAGGCGTTTGGCCTAGATATCTCTTTGACACCTGTTTTCGCTTATGACCGGCTTTTTGCATTATCCATCTCTCCCTCTCTTTTTTCTTTCCTTTTTTTTTTTTTTCCCTTCTTCTTCCTTTGGATCGCCTAAATACAATTAGAGAATTATTCTCAAAACTCAATTATTCTTCGTCTAAATAACTAACAACTGGTTATTAAACCGAATAAAATTAAATCATATTTCTATGAATATTTCTTTTTTAGTTTTCTAATAATGCAGGGTGCCACAATCCTCCCTAACTGATTTGTCATTTACCCGTAAATGACACACCTAAACCCAATTACATCATTTAACATGCACCATGCATTTGTCTCATGCAATTCTATTCTACTTTCTTACATGCAAGGGTAATGTTCTTTTCATGCAATGTAATGTTCCTTTCATCTTCTTTTGTTCTACATGCAAGGGTAATGTTCTTTTCATCTTCTTTTGTTCTACATGCAATGTAATGTTCTTTTCATCTTCTTTTGTTCTACATGCAATGTAATGTTCTTTTCATCTTCTTTTGTTCTACATGCAAGGGTAATGTTCTTTTCATTTTCTTTTGTTCTACATGCAATGTAATGTTCTTTTCATTTTCTTTTTGTTCTACATGCAAGGGTAATGTTCTTTTCATTTTCTTTTGTTCTACATGCAATGTAATGTTCTTTTCATTTTCTTTTTGTTCTACATGCAATGTAATGTTCTTTTTCATCTTTTTGTTCTACATGCAATGTAATATGTGCGTGTCTGTGGGGTGCAGATGTGTTTACTATGGTTTGTTCTTCTTGGTCAATGTTTTCCTCTCCGCTGTGGGAGGTTTTTCCGCCGCACGGTGGTCTCACGCCAGCCTCCTCCGTTGGTCTTTCGGCAATTTCTTCGCCAGTCCTGTCTGAGTAAGGAACACTGCTCGGCATCTCCCTCTCGAGTTGCTGCATGCTCACTAGATTGTCGTTCGCTAATCTTCTCTTACTCCTAACCTTCCATACTAATACATCCCCGATGGTTATAACTAGGAATGTACCCATTACTATTGACCAACTTATCGCGATCTGCTCATCGTCTTCCCAAGCCACACCTTCGTTTCCCAACGCACTTAACTTATCTCTTAATTGATCCATATCGATCTTTTCTATTGGCTTCCTTAATACTGGCATCTTATTTAAGGTAACATTAGAGAATCTCTTCACTATCGGCTCCCATAATTCTGTACAACTGACTAAGCCTCTACCAATCATCTCTATGATTGAATCTTTTTCTTCATATCTTTCTTCTTCCTGGTATATCTCGAATGTACTCTCGCTATCTAACAACGGAACAGATATCACAACCAATAATCGCCTATTTTCTAACAAGGTCACACATCCTAGTGCATTATAGTACTTCCACAATTCTTTACTCAATTATTTCATAACTTCTTACTAAGTTCAGCTCTTCCCTCCTCTAACTAACCTCTAGCAGACAGAATGGTCTGGTCAGGTGTGCGTGGCGCTCACTCTAAAGGTCGTACTTCATGACACCACTGATGGCCAATCAATAATGCCAATAATCTTCTTCCGTCCCTTGTGAGGTGCAGCCCATGACTCCATCCCTCCACTCACATCCACCGCAGTCAGCCAGCAGGTTTTTGATGAGCCAGTGTCGTTATCTGTCGACACTAAATGCTTCTATTCTGCACAGCCCTCTTGTTCTACTGAGATTTGGGGTTCTCCACCCTCCTTGATCTCATCTTCCGAGGTGACTCCTGCTCAACCTCTAACCTTCCTTCTGTGTTTAACTTCCGTCCAGGAGGTGTTTTGTCCTCTTCTTCATCCCCTGATTCTTCTTTCTGTTTAGAGTCTTCGCCTTGAATGTCTTCAATGCCTCTCGACTCTACGTCTAATTCTTTCCTGTTCCTTATCCTTTCCTTGAGCTGGGAAAGGGGTATTCGATCCTCCTCCTCCCACTCGCTGGGTCCTTCGTCCTGTTCAGGGTGCCTCTTTTTAGAGCCTTCGACTGCTTGATTGGACCTCCTCGTCTTTTTCTTCCTTTTCTTCGGACATGAGGGTGTGATGGCGACCTCACGGGGTCTTCTCTGCACCGATTCAGTCGACGACTGAACATCGCTAATCCCCGCTGAGGGTTCCAACTCTGTCACTCGGACTGCTTCGTTTATCTGGCCAAGTCGACCTATCTCCTCATCTTCCTCGGAGTCTTCTTCCGTCTCCATTTCTTCCGGTTCAACCAGAGTTACCTTCCTTTTCCTTGTCTTCTTAGGCCTCGTCTCGCTCATTTCCAGGTTAGCTATTTCAGCCTTCTTCAGATCATTGGCATGAACCCTCCTCGCTCGTCCTGCCACTTGATCCCATATTACATATGATACTGGGCCCGTCTGCTCTACTATCCGGTAGTACGGTTCCCATCTCTGGTCCAGTTTTCCTTCTCTCTGGTGGATTTTATAGTAGACAGGGTCTCCAACCTTCAACTCTACTACTCTTCTTTCAGCATTCACTCTCTCATTTCTTTTCTTCTGGGCCCTCTTTATTCTTCTTCTGGCCTGTACGAATATCTTATGTTGCTGTTCCAGCAATAGTTGATGATGATCTTCTCCCATATACCTTCTTCGGGGCTTCAGTAAGTTATCCACAGGCAGGACCACGTCTCTGCCAAACAACAAAAAGTAAGGAGAAAAATCTGGAGGTTTCGTTTATCGTAAACCTCACGGCCGCCAGAGCCTGCGTCAAATACAAGTCCCAATTTCCAGTGTTTTCTCTGACCAGCTTGGCCAATACATCTCCCAAGATTCTATGAAACCTTTCCACTTTAGCATTTCCTTGGGGGTGATTTGGAGATGTTTTTATGTGCTCTATATTCAAACCTGTCAGAACCTCTCTCATTATGCTGTTCACATTCTCCGTGCCATTATCTGTTACCAACTGCACTGGAGCGCCATACCTAGGGAAGATTTCACTTATTATCAACCCGGCCACAGTTCTGGCCTTCTTGTCTGGCACTGCAAATGCTTCAGGCCAATTTGTTAGCCAATCGACAAAGCTCACGATATAGTTGTTTCCTTGTGCAGTTTCCCCATATGGTCCTGATACATCCATACTCACCTTCTCGAAGGGGAAGTTTGGTACGTCTGTTTCCTCCAAGGGTGCCATTTCCTGCCTTCTGCTCTGCGACTGGCACACTACACAGCTCCGAACATAGTTAGTGACCTCTCCGTACAGTTTGGTCCAATAGTACTTTCTTCCTATAAGATCACATGTCCTATCAATTCCCATGTGACCCAACCTCTCGTGGCACTGTTCCAATATCTCTGGTCTTAAACTTTTGGGCACATACAACTTGGGCTTGACTTCTTCATCCCTGCCTGAGAGATAATACAGCCTTTCCTCTATTATGGCATACTTGGTGGTCTCTCCTGCCTTCACCTTCTCTCAGTGCAGCTTTTTCACTGTCTTCTTGCTCCTTCTCAATTCCTTCTGTCCAGTAGGGGATCGGTTATTATCTGGGCGTCCCCTTCTTCGTCCGATTCTAACATAGGGCGATCTTTTAGCTTATTAGAGTTAATTACTCCTATTCTATAGGCTTTATCATCTACTACCTGCTCTACCTTTTACAGATCTTTCTTCCAGTTGTTTCGGTATTCTTGAGAGTAAATCTGCACGTTTTTTTCCTTTCCTGCCAAATACTCTATCTTACAGTGGTAGCCACTTAACTTAAGTGCCCACTATTGAATTTTCTTATTATTTGTCCACTTGCCTGCAATAGGTACTGCAGAGGTTTGTGGTCTGTTTTTATAGTAAAAGATCGCACCATTCAAATAGTAGTCCAGCTTTTGGAGAGCATACATGATGGCATATGCTTCCCTCTCATTACTGGCCACCTCTGTTGTGTCTCTGAGAGTTTATGGGAGAGGAAGTATATCGGTATTCCTCTGGTATGCCTGGCACTGGTCCTTCCTTATCAGGACACGGCTGGGTAAGTACTGCCCCTACACACTGCTCACTGGCATCCGTGTATAATATCATGGGCTTGTTGAGGTCTGGGTACGTCAGCAGTGGGACGGTTGTCAACTGTTCCTTTAGCGAATCAAATGCTCGTTGACAGTCCTCTGTCCACTTGAACCTAGCGTATTTCTTCGTCAGGGCTACTAGTGGTATGGCAATTCTTGAAAATGCCGACGAAGCGTCGGTAGTAGCCTATAGCTCCTATAAAACCTCTTACCTGCCTCACTGTCTTAGGCTCTGGCATTTCCCTTTATGACCTTTACCTTATCCATGTCGGGTTTAATACCGTCTCCGTTTATGACGAAGCCTAAATACCTAGTCTCTTCCTTCAGAAACTGACACTTTGACAATTTTAATTTTAAGCCGTGTTTCCTTAACCTTCCCAACACTTGTCTTAAAATGAAAAAAGTGTTGTTCCACTGTTTCCGAAAATATCAAGATATCGTCCAAATACGCCATGGCAAAGCTCTCGTATCCTCCTAACACTATTGACATTAGCTGTTGAAGACCCTGGGCATTAGCTAAACTGAATGGCATCACCCCTGAACTGAAACAGTCCCAGGTGACACGCAAATGCGGCCTTCTCCTTGTCAGCCCCATCCAGGGCTACCTGCCAATACCCGGACCTCAAGTCCAACGTAGAGAAGTACTTTGCCTTCCCTAATAATGCCAAAATGTCGTCTATCAATGGCAATGGCACCGCCAACGGCTTCGATATAGAATTTAGCTTTCTAAAATCTACACAAAACGGTGCCCGCCATCTTTTTCTTACTACTATTACTATTGAAGCTCCAAGGGGAGATCGATCTTCGATCATCCCAGCTTCCAACATTTCCTCTATTGCCTCTTCTACAAGGGGTCTTTTTATGTATAGGTGTCCGGTAGGGTTTTAATTTCACAGGGGTGGTCTCCGGTGTCGATTTTCATTTCGACTGTGTGGGTCTGACCTAGTTCCTTGTCTGACTGGGGCCACCACATCTCGATTGTCCCTTAACAGACCCCCCCACTCTGGTTCTAAATTGATCCGGTGCTAATATATCTTCATCTAAGATTCCTTCTGTTTGCTCTACTAGCCTCCTTCGTTCCTCCTCGAATCTCACCTGATTCAGAGTTCGTAGGGGAAGTGCTCTTCCTATCTCCTCCCTCTCCTAACCTTTATAGTCTTTTGGGCTTGGTTCACCATCATAATGGGCACCAACTCGGCTGCCCCACTACTGTTTCGCACAGGGTTACCTCGCCATCTTCTAGGCCCTTTCCTTCTACAGGGACCAACTGCAGAGGTCCTCTCCATACCCTTTTTCCCTGACATTAACCTACCCTTTCCCGACACTGCGGTCCTAGGAGGTAACTTTACATCTTCCTCCACCACTATGGTTATCTCTTCCTCTGGTGGCATCCCAATGGCGTTCTCTCGCCGTTCACCACCAACACAGTAGGATTAAACTCGATCTGGGCCCTTTGGTTCCGGAGCCAATCTTCTCCCAAGATTGCCTCCGTACACAGGTCGGGGGGTTACGTAAAAATTTTGGGTGCTTTTTTACTTTCCCAATCCTCACCGGGAGCCTCACCATCCCTTTTATCTTCAGGGGGGCCCCATCTGCTTGCGTGACCTCTATGTCCGCTTCCCTGTAACCTTCTCTTCCGTTTCACCCGCCTGTATGTTTCCTCTCTCATCAATGACACAGATGCTCCTGTGTCCACCAAAGCCCCCATCTCTCTCCACCACCTATCTCCGCTCTACAGGATAGTTCTTTCTCTTGCGTTAGCGAAGAGAACACTTGAGCTTTCCTCTTCCTGGGTCCCCACCCTTGGGTCAACCCAGCCATAGGGTGCCGGTAGTAATAAATCACCTTCATTTTTCTCATGAGGTGGAGTTCTGCGCCCCTGCACCTGGGCGACCCTGGCCGGACCTCTCCGGTCTCCCGCGGCCGTTTCTAAGGATACAGTTTCTTTTTCAGGTGTCCTGGCCTCCTGCAAAACCAGCACCTTCTTGTTGGACAGCTTGCCGCAAAGTGGCCCGCCCGACCACATGTCCAACATTTTGCTCTTTTTCCTTTTCAACTGGGTTGGCCTTTGTGTTCATTCCCGGGGAACCCTGTCCTCTATTCAAGCGGTTCGCCCGTCCACTGGTCCAAGCTTTTATTTCTTTCTTTTAACTGGGCCACCCTCCCTCTTAATTCCGGGGTGGCCTGCTGGCTTTTCCCTGGGCCGGTCTCTTGGGCTCAGCCTTCTTTGTTAATATCGGTGGGGGGCATCCTTCCTCAGCCCCAGCACCACTTGGCCAGGTGTCCTTTCTTACCACACCTGGTGCATCTGTCCTGATTGAAGTCTGGGGCAACCCCACTTCGTCGGACATTCCGCCGCCCTGTGGTCCCTCGTGCCCACAGGTCCAACAGACCAGCCTGTATCGACCCGGCGTGGGCTTTATAAAAGCCATGCCTGGTCGACCATGCCTTTCTATTGGGGTCTTAGCCCGATCCACCTCTACTTTAACCTTCTGATTCCAGGGGGATCCTCCGCCTACCCCCCTTCTTCCAGCCTCCTGACCTGGTATTTGCTTCTTCCCACACCTTTCACCTTTTCCCATACGCCCTGGCTCTCCTTGGCCAGCTCTATTGCTGCCGACAGTCTCAGCGGTCCCTCTTTTTGTACGTCGACGAACACGCTCGTCACTTAGCGCCTCTACATACAGGTCCGCTAGTTGGGCCTGCATAACCGCATTGTCTCTGACCACTTCAGGGAATGCCAATGACGACAGCTTCCCTGCTCGGGCCCCCAATTCTCCGGGGTTTCATCCCGCAGCTGTGTCAGTTTTAGGAGGGCCCTCATGGCCTCTATGGCTGTGCCCTCGTCGGCGAATTCCTTGGTCAACAGTCCCTTTAACCCTTCCCAAGACAAGTGGGGTTGACTCTCCAAGAGCTCCTTCACGAACTCAGATGCTTTCCCTTTGTGGCATCGTATGCCAAATACAGGGTTTCTTGGTCTGAAAGCTCGTAGATAATTCGGCTCTTCTCCAGGATTGCCAGCCAGTTTTTAAATTCTTTCCGCTGCCGTCAAATACTGGGACCCTCGGTCCACCTAACAGCTTTCTTAAATCAACTGACAACCCCTGTCTTACTTCCTCTTCACCCCCACTGCTCTATCTGAATCATAGTCTGACATATCTAAAGAAAAGACAATCTATGCAGCAACAATCGAGGTTGGGAAATAAAATAAAGTGTCCTACCTTACAGACGATTCTGTTCTCGTTCCTTTCGGTCCCGGGTCGTTTTGAGTCCTGTTTGAATTTTCAGCAACGGCGGTCGATCGATGTGATGTGACGTGGTTGTCTCAGGGTTGAATCCTGGTCACGGCACCAACTGTGACGTCGCCCCCCCCCCTGGTCGCAGCGTCGACTCTGTCGTTCGATCTCGTTCGCGGCTCCAATTGTGACGTGAAGTGATGTAGCCGCCCAAGGGTCGATCCTTGTCACGGACAGCACCAGTTGTGACGTCTTTTGCCGCGGCGTCAGCTGTTCGCCCTCGCTGCTCCAAGTGTGACGCTCCAACCCTTTGGTTAGATGATTACCAGCCTCGCCGTTCCCAACTCGCTTCCAACACCTGGTTACTAGGGTAACTGTACTGATCTCCGGTCTGCCTACCCACGTTGTGATCAGATCTTAGACAGACGGGATCAAACAGGGATTGGGGCCGTATGCAAGTTGAGTTCGACGGGGTGGCAAACACAAAGTAAAAGAAAACTCACGAGGCCAAAAATTACTGATAAAAAAGGGTAACAACCTTTATATCTAATGTTCGTTACATAAAAATTATTCTTACTTCCCGACCCGTTTTGTGGACTGTGGCACCAAGCTTCTACCATACAACTTAAAGACTTCGAGTTGCCTCTCGAGAAATTTGTATGTCGGAGTGTGGTTTGGTTTCGACACTGGGCGCTAATCTCTACCAGTCGTTCACGGCTGATTCTTCTCTTCGGCTTGAGTTGACGAGCTTATTCACTTCGGCTTGAGTTGGACGAATTTTTCACTTCGATTTGGGTTGACGAATTTCTGTTCTTAGGCTTGGTTTGATTTCAACTTCTTCCATGCGCAACTGCAAGTAACTTCTTCTTCGTCCGCCCTGCAACTCTTCTCGCCAAGGTCCGAACTCTTCTCTCTGCCGTCTGAGGTGAACTGAGCTCTCTGTCGTCCGGGGCTGAACTGAGCTCTCTGTCGTCCGGAGCTGAACTGAACTTCTTCTGGCCCGTACTTCTTCTGCCTGTCTGGCCGGCAACTCTTCTGCCTGTCTGGCCTGCAATTCTTCTGCCTGTCTGGCCGAATACTTCTGCCTGTCTGGCCTGCAATTCTTCTGCCTGTCTGGCCTGCAACTTCTGCTTGTCTGGCCTGCAGCTCTTCTGCCTGTCTGGCCTGAACTCCGCTTGTCTGGCCTGCAGCTCTTCTGCCTATCTGAATTCTTCTGCTTGTCTGGCCTGCAGCTCTTCTGCCTGTTGGCCTGCAACTCCGCTTGTCTTCCTGCAGCTCTTCTGCCTGGCCTGCAATTCTTCTGCTTGTCTGGCCTGCAGCTCTTCTGCCTGTCTGGCCTGCAACGGCAGGCCAACTCCGCTTGTCTCCTGCAACTCCACTTGTCTGGCCTATTTCTTCACCTATCTGGGTTGCAATTCTTCCCTGTCTGGCCTGCAGCGGCTTTCTGCAATTTTCTTCTCTTCGCTTGGCTGCAACTCTTGGTCCGGGCCAAACGGACCGACCCTTCTTGCCCGCTCTCCCGTCCGCTCTCCAACTGCTCTGGCCTTCCAACGCAACTCTGATTTCTGTCGGTTGGGGTTCTGCTTTTTATTGACGCCGCAACAAACTGGGGTGGGTCTGTCGGCGTCAGGGTTTTCTTGATAATTCCAAAAGTCGCATTATTTCTGATTTCCCATTATCGCTCTTACTCTCACCCCTACTTCCTCACAGTGCCTCTGGGGGGAGGCGCACACCCATCTCTCCCGGTCTCTCGCATGTCAGGTGACCGTTTTCGACCAATGGGTCCTGGTCGAGCGTCCTTTCTCCTCTTTCTCGCATATCACGTGACCGCTCTCGGCTAATGAGATTCTGGTTGGGCGTCTCTCGTCCTTCGTGACGTCTCCAATTTGGCGTGGCCTATCCGGGGCTTTGTTCTGGGGAAGAACACCTTGCTAAAAAAAACAAAAATCCAATTTGGCCTTTTCGCACGCACGAAAATGACAATCTCGGCCTTTCTCACCTTTTGGCTTTTGTCAAAACAGCCCGCCGCTAATTAGATGTGACTTCAGGAAGAATTTTTCTCGTCTTGCTGGCGCTTTCTGTGAGCCAAAACAATTGTTTTCATTCCTTTATTTTCGCTCAGGCCTGATAGCCAAAATCTTAATTATCTGAATTGAAAATATCTTCACTTTATCATCGTGGGGGTTCTAATCTTCAACTCTAGAGCTGGTCAAACTGTATACAATTCCAGCGGTCACCTCTCACCCAAAAGACACCCCTTTTTGATTAATATTTCTTTTTCCATTGTTCTAAAAAATCCCATTTCTCCAAATTGATAATGAGCTCCCACATTCCGTGGACACAAAAGTAGGCCAGGTGTTTTGACCGATATTTTTATCAATCGTACGTATGTTCATCCACTTTTACATGTCTGTCTGTTTTTTTTTTTATTACCTTTAAAGTTTATTCTTTCAAATAACAATTTCTATTGTTCGTGAAATTCGGTCAGGCGCGTTGGCCTAGATATCTCTTGACACCTGTTTTCGCTTATGATCGGCTTTTTGCATTATCCATCTCTCCCTCTCTTTTCTTTCTTTTCCTTTTTTTTTTCCTTCTTCTTCCCTTAGGGATCGCCTAAATACAATTAGAGAATTATTCTCAAAACTCAATTATTCTTCGTCTAAATAACTAACAACTGGTTAATAAACCGAATAAAAATTAAATCATATTTCTATGAATATTTCTTTTTAGTTTTTCTAATAATGCAGGGTGCTATATATATATATATATATATATATATATATATATATATATATATATAAAAAACAGACATATGCTGACGAGAAGGCTTACACTTGGATGAGCATAATTCTGTCTTACAGCATTTAAAGGGACACTCATGTCTACATTCACAGTTTAGATAGATATTAGATGAAATTACGTCTATATTACACCAAAATATTAGTATGCAAAAAATTGAAATTATAGAAGACCTGTATATAAGAGAATCAAAGCCCAAAATAAATATAGCCAACTGTGAGTATAGTAATAAGTTTTTAAATGTTTGTAGCAACAAAGCATATATATATATATATATATGTATATATATATGAATAAAAAAATATGTATGAATATAAATAATAATAAATGAAGATATACAAATGTGGCTTCCATTGCATGAAAAAAACGTTGTGAGTATTGAAATTGATACGGAACGATAAAAAACGCAGTAAAACAAAGAGTAAAAGTGTTTTGAATTTTATAGAAATACGTCTACACGTACACAGACCATTTAACTGTATGAAGATGGTCTCAGGTGAGACTGAAAAGTATATGGAAAAATAAAAATTATTACAAAGAAAATGTTGGTATTTATCTTAATCAATTTTCTACGGCAACCCAAAAATTGATTCGTGGAATCCAAAGGATTAAAACAAAAACATAGTTTATCGAAATTATTTAACCAAGCCTGTTTGAATGTAAATATGCTGCCTAAACACACACACGCACATACACGCACAACCACACGCACAACCACACACACACACACACACACACACACACAGAGAAACTTGATTTGAACTTGATATTTCTTATTACTTCAAAAGTTATTTTAATGGATGCCCATAACTTTGTTTAATAGAATGCATCTCGCCTACCCACCTGAGACTCAATAAAAGAAGATTGTTCTGCGACAGGGTTCGAGCCTGCGTTTCCTTTGGGATTCACACTGTTTACAAAAAAAAAAAAAAGAAAAAAACGAAAAAACATCGGTAGTGTAGGATTTTTGTTGCAATATCAGAAGGTTCATTTGTAAATATTGTGTTTCGCAGGTTCCTTCTCATCGTGTTTCGCGTATTTATTAATAGATACGTTTTGCTTACAGATCGCGATTGCTCCTGATGAAAAACATCAAAACACTCTAACGGGATGCATTTCATTGGAATTTAAAGAGAATTAAAAAAAAACGATCAGGCTCCTCGCATTCGCCGAAAGACTGTTTCAGATAACCAAATATTGAATATCTGTCCTTTCGGCCTATTGACACCCGTCCTGGGTATGAACGATAAATTACATCCGCGTTCTGAGTATGACGATAAACTACGTCCAAAAGCAAGGTCTCTGATCAGGAAGTTTTAAGGAGCGTGGAACCACCTCTTACTTGTTGTTGTTCTCAGGTTCATCCTGGCTCCGGGTGGTAGCACCTGTTAGGATCCCAGCTATGGGTAAATAGTTAACTCCAAAACTGGGGTCAAAACACTATGAACGTGAAAAAAAATGTTTTAAAGCCAGAAATACTTTGTAAAAAAATTATTACCAGCAATACATATTTGACGAAAACATATTAACAGCAATACATTTTTTAAAAAAATATATATATATATATATATATATATATATATATATATATATAAAGAAATATAGTCTTAAGGTGTGCTATATTTATGGGATAAAAATGCTCAATATCAGAGATAGAGCGTGTGTAAATATAAAGTCAGAACATAAATTCAACATTAGAGGCGACAATCTGTTTCCTGCTATATGCAATCGTCAGGCCACCTGACGATTGCATATAGCATGAAACAGACTGTCACCCTCTATGTTGACTTTATGTTCATATATATATATATATATATATATATATATATATATATTTATCAGCAATAAAAATTTTGTCGGCATTAAATAACTCATTGAGGTTGATATACCTAAAACAAAACAAACCAACCAAACATGTATTGTCATACTCTGTCTAAACAGTACTGAACTTCGCGCAAACCTTGAAGTCATAGGTGAGATTGCAAGCCTTAGTCATGTAAGGAAGTCAACCATTTTTCATCATTATGTCTCTTAATTCTTTAGGGAATATAGGGCCGCAACAACACCTTTCCAAAGGACGCGGTTCCGGGAGATCCTCTTCAGCTCGGTCTATGTCGTACCTGGCTGCCTTCGCGGGGAATTTTCATCAGCACGCGTCACACTCTCCATTTTGGTGGGCTCTTTCCACTCGACTATGTCTTGGTTTGAAGATATCGTTGAGGTTTCTGTAACAAGCTAGTGTCTAGATTGTTAGCCTACTGCACAACCCTCATCCTGGAGGACCAGAATGAGTCCTTCTTCTGGCTTTTCCCCTGCAGACCTAGCTGTTGAGCTTGGTTGGAGCTGCTAATGGCCGAAGCCCCCGCCCGCATGGCTCTGGGTGTCGCCGAAACACGCAAGCCGTCCTACCATGTCATATATGTATATATACAGCGACATAACATCAGGACGGAAAAGAATTAACCAGATATTCATTAACTGTTCAATTCTAAGAATCTCCAATTTTATCGGTAAATTTCAGAAAGTTGTCCATACATTTCAACTGCCAAGTTCTGTGCCAAGGAAAACACATTATGAATGACGACCCGAACTGAGTTAAACCCGGCCGATGAATTGTTTATGTTTAAATTTTTAATATAAGACCGAAAACGCGTAAGAAAGGTCAATAATATTGCAGCAATAGTAGGATGAAGATGTCTTTCCGATCGCAGATTCCTTACCGTGCTGTAGCTTCAGAAATGCCAGATGACGTGATGGCAAGTAGTTGGTCTACCCGTTGACATCTGTTCTTTTCCTTTCCCTCGCGCTTCCTCCAAGAAATGACTGCTACGTCTCCCGACTCTCCCGATCAATGAAATGAAGCGAAGAACGGAAACCTGTAAAAAACTGTTTGTTTGTCACTCAGTCTAAGATCCACCGTCGATGTTCTGAAGTGAGGAATTGTCGATAGACCATTGGAATCCAAGATGACACACAATGCAATAAGGTCTTACCCCATAGAGTTCCACTAGTTTAGGCATTTAAAGCTGGGATGTGTAATCCTAATTCGTATGCCAGACGTAAGAAGAAAGTTCCACTCAGTCATCCCTTTTCCCAAGAACTGCCACCCTATAGATTAGACTACCACGTGGATGTTTCCCCGATCACTTTAATCTTGACCTCTTCAAGTCAGTGCTCAATCGCTATCTATCCTCCTTATTCGCGTAACCATCATTTCCGTAACAGCTCATTCATAATTTTTGCGGTATAATTTTGACGTGGTATAATAGTTAGCAACCTTTTTTTCTTAAGCGTTTCACCCCAAGCAAGGCGGGAAACCACTGGCACGCAAGGAGTTACAGAGAGTTGGAGCGAGAGCAAATAGGAATGATAGAGGAAAGGATGAAGAGAAGGATAGGGGATAGATCAGGGCACCCGGAGACGTCGATTGACATTACATTTGAATAGTTGGAGATTATAGCTATCAGGAAAACAGGAAAAAGGGATGGAGTTCCACAGTCGAGAAGTTCGAGACATGAGCTATTGGAGTAGAAGAGACGGCCGCATTTAACAGTTTCGACAGTGAAAGGGTGAGAGCGAGATGTCAGCCTAGTTGAACGCTTAAATTCATGAAGTCTGGGAACCAGCGAAAGCAGCTCATCGGAACAGTTACCATGAAAGTATTTGTAAAAATGACAGAAGAAGGCGACGGCACGTCTGTGACAGAGCGACTGCAGACGAGATGCCAGATAAGGGCCAATTAAATTGCATATCCGTCTCTGGA